GGAATGAACTCCCAAAAATGGGAGAACCCAATTCTTTGGGAAGTTTCCACTCAGAGAACAAAAATGCTGGAAAAGAGGCTCCGTGGAGCTGCCCAACTATGGTCAAAATAAGGATTTCTTTTTTAAAAATAGCTTTTATTTACTGCTGGGAAGGCTCAGGGTGCTTGAGCAGAGAGCACAGAATTCCCATGCCCCAGATACTCAGTGGGAATTCCCATATTCCAAATATTCAGTGGGAATTCCCATGCCCCAAACATTCAATGGGAAAAATCACCCAAATCCCTTCTGGATGGCACTTGGAGCACAACACTCAAATCCCAGCTCAAAAATCACCCAAATCCCACCCCAAACATCACCCAGAGCACAGCACCCAAAATTCCTCCTCAAATCTCAGCCAGAGCTCAACATCCAAATTCCTCCTCGAAAAAATCACTCAGAGCCCAACAGTCAAATTCCACCCCAAACCTGAACCAGAGCCCAACACCCAAATCCCACTTCAAAAATCACCCAAACTCCTTCTCAAAAATCACCCAGAGCCCAACACCCAATGCCATCTCAAAAATCACTCAGAGTTTGACCCCCAAATCCAATCCCAAACATCACCCAGAGCACAGCACCCAAATTCCTCCTCGAAAAAATCACTCAGAGCTCAACACTCAAATTCCACCCCAAACCTGAACCAGAGCCCAACACCCAAATAAATCCCTTCTGAATGGCACTTGGAGCACAACACTCAAATCCCAGCTGAAAAATCACCCAAATCCCACCTCAAACATCACCCAGAATCCAACACCCCAATTCCTCCTGGATGTCACTTGGAGCCCAGCACCCAAATCCCAGCTCAAACATCACCCAAACCCCTTCTCAAAAATCACCCAGAGCCCAACACCCAATTCCATCTCAAAAATCACTCAGAGTTTGACCCCCAAATCCCATCCCAAACATCAACCCGAGCCCAACATCCAAATCCCAGCTCAAAAATCACCCAAATCCCAGCTCAAACATCACACCAGGATCAACCCAGCCCCAAAAAGAGCCCCCGAAGCTTCCAGCACCCCCCGGAATTCCCCCGTGGGAGGTGGAAATTTCCCTGGCAAGGCACAGGAGCTGCCGGTGCCGCTGCCACCAGCGCTGTCCCAGCCAAGGTGACACAGCTCGTGGTGACAGCGCGGGGCCCAGCCGAGGTGCCGGGGGCTGGCAGCACGCAGGAGGAATTCCCAAACCCTCCCTGACCTCAGGGCTCCGTGCTCAGGGATGAATCCCTCCATGCTCGGTGTCATTACATGCACCGGGTCCTTTTAAACAAAGAATTCCTGCTCCTTTCCAAGGGCTCCTGAAAGAGTTCCCAGTGGATGAAGAGCTCGGCTGGATCATTTGGTGCTGAGATTTTTCCACATCCCAGTTAATTGGATCACTTCATTTCCGAGGGCTCGTGGCTCGCAGCCCTGGATGGGAGAGGGATCAGACACGGAGGGAAGGCAGGAAAAAAAAAAAAAAACAACCCACAGCCTCATCCCCACGTGAAAGGAAAATAGGATTTTATCAGGAGCTGGGGAATGGGGTTGGTGCTGCTCCCCCTGAGCAGCCCCATGGGATGGGCAGAGCCTTTCCTGCCATTCCTACAGGATCCTGTCCCCAATTCCTACAGAATCCTGTCCCCAATTCCTACGGGATCCTGACTCCAATTCCCACAGGATCCTGTCCCCAATTCCTACGGGATCCTGTCCCCAATTCCTACGGGATCCTGTCTCCAATTCCTACACAATCCTATCCCCCATTCCTACAGAATCCTGTCCCCAATTCCTACGGGATCCTGACTCCAATTCCTACACAATCCTATCCCCCATTCCCACAGGATCCTGTCCCCCATTCCCACAGGATCCTGTCCCCCATTCCCACAGGACCCTGTCCCCCATTCCCACAGGACCCTGTCCCCCAGGAACAGGTTCCCCTGAACCCCCAGGTTCCAGCATTGCCCCCCACATATTCAATTTAATTTTAATTTAATTTATTGCCACCTCATTCCCGGCTCGTCTTCCCAGCACCTTTCCCTCCTCCCTGTCATTTTTAACCCGAGCTGAAGGGTGGAAATGCAGGGAGCAGGAATTGGGGCTGGCACAGGCTCCAGGAGCAGCCAGCAGGACAAACACAGCCACACATCCCAGCTGCTGGAATCTCAGAATAGAACCGGTTATTCCCACTCGGATTTCAGCATTTCCAAACCAGGGACAGGTTCTTGTTCTCCATAATTCCTCTCATTCTTTCCTCCTGCCGTTCCCACTATCCAAAGTCACCTGCTGCTCCTTTCATTTCAAAAGGACCAAGTGGCTTCAGCCACTTTCAGCCCGTTAATTTAATTCATTTCAAAATGAAAATAAATGACTAAAAGATCCCGGAGGTTTAAGTAGAGATGGAGTGGTGCAAATAATTATGGGATGTTTGGGGTGGGAAAGGACCTCAAAGGCCATCCAGCTCCACATGGACACTCCCCCCTGTCCCAGGGATCCAGGGGCAGCCACAGCTGCTCTGGGAATTCTTTTCCAGGGTCTCCTCCCCACCTTCCTAGCCAGGAATTCCTGGCCAACATCGCACCTATCCCCACCCCCTGGCTGCTCAAAATTCCTTCTCCCTGCACACCAATGCAATGGTTTGGGGCCCTGCCACAGCCCAGGCTGCCACAAAACGCTGCTGGTTGAGGGCAAAAAAAAAAAAAAATTAGGATTTTTTATCACCCCAGAGCAGGTGAGGGACAGGTAGAGCTCCCACCTTTCCTCTGAGGTGAGAAGGAAATCCTGGCTTAGTAAAACCAGAGACTTTTCTGAGCTCCTCAGTGAGAAATCAACAAATGTCAATAAAATCTGAAAAGCAGAGTCCTAAATACCAAAATAAAAAGCAAGTGGCCAATAACTTGGGTTTAGACATAATCAAACCATAGTAAGAATGTTGCTTCCATTTTTTAAATCAAACAAGGTAAACCACCTGCATAGTTTAAAAACTAAAAAAAAAAAAAA